ACATTTAATTATATTATATTTATATATATATATATATATATATATGTGAGATTAATGGGTATCCTTGTCATAGGAGGGGATTTCCTCCTTGACGCCTCTAAAATCACATGATTGAGCGACATTGTGGATGATCCGCTCCGTTGAACTTGATCTACATATTCTAAAACCCCAACACACCAAATTTGGGGTGAACCCGTCGTCGTTTGACCCTTCATCCACTCGTATCAATTTTAACGGTTTCGAATGAATAGAACTTTTCACATGGCTCAACAGAGGGTCAAACGACTATGGGTTCACGGTAAACTTGGTGTGTTGGGGTTTTAGAATATGTAGATCAAGTTTAACGGAGCGGATCATCCACAATGTAGCTCAATCATGTGATTTTAGATCGCGTCCTTAGATGATTATCTAAAGCGTCACCTTAGGAACACTTTTCCATATATATATATATGGAAAAGTGTTCCTAAGGTGACGCCTTAGATAATCATCTAAGGACGCGACCTAAAATCACATGATTGAGCTACATTGTGGATGATCCGTTCCGTTAAACTTGATCTACATATTTTAAAACCCCAACACACAAAGTTTGGGATGAACCCGTCGTCGTTTAACCCTTCATCTACTCGTATTAATTTTAACAATTTCAAATGAATAGAATTTTTCACATGGCTCGACGGAGGGTCAAACGACGATGGGTTCACTCCAAACTTGGTGTGTTGGGGTTTTAGAATATGTAGATCAAGTTCAACGGAGCGGATCATCCACAATGTAGCTCAATTATGTGATTTTAGGCCGCGTCCTTAGATAATTATCTAAGGTGTCACCTTAGGAACACTTTTCCCATATATATATATGTCTGTGTGTGTGTGGAAAATTTTTTAAAATAGATCTTTTTTGAAACAATATAAGCAAAATCGATCATTTTATACTAAAGTTAGTAAAGTCGACTGGTTTTTGCCCACGTCAGCATATTAGGGTAAAAACAGTCGATTTCGTGTAAATCAAACCTTACTAATCTCCCTCCTCCTACTCCAATTTCTCAACACCAAATCCGCTTCGAAAACGTTCCTAGCTCTACAAAAACCACAAAACACCGCAAAATAACTCAAGTCATCAACCTCAATCCCTCTCTCCTCCATCTCATTCAGAACAACCCAACTCAAATCACAACACGCCCTAATAAACCCGACATAAGCTTCTCTGCTCAACCGCCAACAGTTCGATGAAATTCGTGAATAAACTCTTCGATCTCCGACGCATTTTTAGATTGTCGTGGAGGTATATGACGAAATCTGAGATTGTAAC